TTCTCCACAACTGTAGAAGGTCCAGGAACACTGCTTTAAACGACCAAAACTCACTCTTTTCTTTTTAGCCGAGATAGAAAGACGGTCCGGAATATGGTTTTGTCGGAAAACTCATATTTTGCCGTAACCGTGACCTTTTTCCCCTAAACCTGGCAGTGATTTGAGCAGCTCTGGCTCAAAGTTCATTTATTTGTTAACTACGGAAAAGCTCCAGCTGAGTCCTCATTGTCAAAGTCACTGCTGTTAATACCACCTCTTTTCCCGTTCCACTCTCCTCCGGTCTCCTTCTAGTCTCCTCCACTCTCCTTCTAGTCCCCCCCACTCTCCTTCTAGTCTCCTCCAGTCTCCTGTAGTCTCCTCCACTCTCTTCCGGTCTCCTTCTAGTCTCCTCCACTCTCCTTCTAGTCTCCTCCACTCTTCTTCTAGTCTCCTCCACTCTCCTTCTAGTCTCCTCCACTCTCCTTCTAGTCTCCTCCACTCTCCTCCACTCTCCTCTGCTCTCCTACAGTCTCCTAGTCTCCTCCAGTCTCCTCCACTCTCCTCCGGTCTCCTTCTAGTCTCCTCCAGTCTCCTTCTAGTCTCCTCCACTCTCCTTCTAGTCTCCTCCACTCTTCTTCTAGTCTCCTCCACTCTTCTTCTAGTCTCCTCCACTCTCCTTCTAGTCTCCTCCACTCTCCTCCACTCTCCTCTGCTCTCCTACAGTCTCCTTCTAGTCTCCTCCAGTCTCCTCCACTCTCCTCTGCTCTCCTACAGTCTCCTTCTAGTCTCCTCCAGTCTCCTCCACTCTCCTCCGGTCTCCTCCACTCTCCTCCAGTCTCCTTCTAGTCTCCTCCGGTCTCCTTCTAGTCTCCTCCACCCTCCTCCCATTTCTTTCCGTCGACTCCGAGGGGGAAAATTCCTCACATTCCTCCCCATTTTTTGTGTCTTTTCGTTGTAATATAATAATACAAGTGGTGCTGCTGGTCTCTCTCTCTCTCTCTGGTCTCTCTCTCTTTTTGGTCTCTCTCTCTCTCTGGTCTCTCTCTGGTGTCTCTCTCTGGTGTCTCTCTCTGGTCTCTCTCTCTCTGGTCTCTCTTTCTGGTCTCTCTCTCTCTCTCTGGTCTCTCTCTCGTCTCCCTCTGTCTGGTCTCTCTCTCTCTGTGTTCTCTCTCTCTGGTCTCTCTCTCTCTCTCTCTCTCTGTGTTCTCTCTCTCTGGTCTCTCTCTCTCTGGCCTCTCTCTCTCTCTCTCTCTCTGTGTTCTCTCTCTCTGGTCTCTCTCTGGTCTCTCTCTCTGGTCTCTCTCTCTGGTCTCTGTGTTCTCTCTCTCTGGTCTCTCTCTCTGGTCTCTCTCTGGTCTCTCTCTCTGGTCTCTCTCTGTGTTCTCTCTCTCTGTGTTCTCTCTCTCTGGTCTCTCTCTCTCTCTCTGGTCTCTCTCTCTGGTCTCTCTCTCTCTCTGGTCTCTCTCTGGTCTCTCTCTCTCTCTCTCTCTCTGGTCTCTCTCTCTCTGGCCTCTCTCTCTGGTGGCCTCTCTCTCTGGTCTCTCTCTCTCTCTCTGTGTTCTCTCTCTCTGGTCTCTCTCTCTCTGTGTTCTCTCTCTCTGGTCTCTCTCTGGTCTCTCTCTCTGGTCTCTCTCTCTGGTCTCTCTCTGTGTTCTCTCTCTCTGGTCTCTCTCTGGCCTCTCTCTCTCTCTCTGGTCTCTCTCTGTGTTCTCTCTCTCTGGTCTCTCTCTCTCTCTGGTCTCTCTCTCGGGTCTCTCTCTGGTCTCTCTCTCTGGTCTCTCTCTCTCTCTGGTCTCTCTCTCTCTCTCTCTGGTCTCTCTCTCTCTCTCTCTCTCTCTGGTCTCTCTCTCTGGTCTCTCTCTCTGGATCCTACTGCTGGATGCTCAGAGGACAGAGTAATGAGGAGACAGAGGCGGTTGTGGGTTTGATTCCTGTCTTTGTGGTGTTTCCGTGGCTCCGGGAGAGAACTGATGGTTAAACTGCTGTGAGAGGATTCCTGAAGAGAGGAAGAGGTCAGATCTCTGCTGCTTCTGTGGTTTATGAAAAGATTTATAATGTATACTTTTAAGGAGGAGTGTGGTCAGAGCCAAATGTTTTACCCAAACTCGGCCTTTGGGGAAAAGGTTTTCTTTGGTAAATTACAGAAGTTTACAGTTTTCTGGCGATGGAAAGTTTCAATGTAGCCACACAAAAAACAAAATAAAAACAAATGAGAGAAATATTTATTTTTGTTGTCCCACTGTTGGGAAATGTCAGTGTTGCATCCACAGTTACTGAAGAGTAGGAATGAGGTCTCTCTCTCTGGTCCCTCTCTCTCTGGTCTCTATCCCTGGTCTCTTTCTCTGGTCTCTCTACAATCTCTCTCTCTCTGGTCTCTCTCTCTGTGGTCTCTCTACGGTCTCTCTCTTGCTCTGGTCTCTCTCTCTCTCTCTTGCTCTGGTCTCTCTCTCTCTCTTGCTCTGGTCTCTCTCTCTCTCTTGCTCTGGTCTCTCTCTCTCTCTCTTGCTCTGGTCTCTCTCTCTCTCTTGCTCTGGTCTCTCTCTCTCTCTCTCTTGCTCTGGTATCTCTCTCTCTCTCTCTTGCTCTGGTCTCTCTCTCTTGCTCTGATATCTCTCTCTCTCGCTCTGGTATCTCTCTCTCTCTCTCACAAGCAATTAAAATACAGACAATAAAACATAAGAACAGTGTATATCCTGTACATATAAAACATATTGTATAAAAAAACTGACAAAAGTTAAAGCAAGTAAAATGCTGTTTATTCTAGTGCAAGAAATATATATCTGTGTAAACATCTGTTAAGGCTATAGCAGTGTGAGGTCATGGGACAAAGTGGACAAACACAAGATTTATGGCTCAAACTCCTAACATAAACTTTATTGATCTCACAGTGAAATGTACATGTCACATTCTGTGTCTGAGTGATTCCCTGCCAACCCCCAACAGGAATTCACTTTAAATGTTTGTGTTTTTATTATGTTTAATGGGGTTTTGTGAACGTCATTCGAAAGAAGAGAGTTCCAATCAATAATATTTAATTCTCATCACACTAAAATACTAACACCAAACTCTGTGAGCTCCTATCTCCTGATCTGGTCCTGAAAACCCAGGAACTCTGCATAGTCCTGTCTCTGTCCCGGACTCACAATGTCCTTCAAAACACTTATGAAAATGTGGAATAAGAGCAAGTGCTGCCAAAGACGTCAATGCAAAAAGAAAGCTCGGCTCCAATCTCCGCCTGCTGCTTCCTCCGCTCTCTGTGTGTGTTTTTGATCACACAACAGTTGTACAGTGAGGTGTGAATGACCTTCTCGGCTGCAGACCCCTCACTTGTGCCGAAGCCGCTCTCACCTCGCCGCGGCCACAGAGACGGCCAGTGTGGAGGCAGCGGCTGGTCCGGCTGGAGGTGTAGAGTAAACAGGATCCACACGTCTCTGCGTTTTCACTGAGTTTTATTAAAGCGGTGACAAAGGGCAGCTCTGTGGACCGGGTTTGGGCCGAGACCCTGAGAGAGCGATAAAAGCAGCAGCAGAAAAACAGTGTAAAAAAACTGGGTGCTGTGATAACGGTTCAGTGTGTTTTGATAAAAGTCACATTCACTTTAAGGATTGTTTGGGATTTTGTTTTCTCTTAAAGATAGTTTCAAGATTATTGCAGTCGAATGTGAACAGCAGCGGACTCAGATTAAAATAAGATTAAGTCTACTTGAAACATTATTTTTCATGGATTTGGTCGATCTATTTTGAACAGAAGAACGACTGCGAGGCCAATGAAGCCGGGGAAGGTCTCTCTCGTCCTGAGGATACAGTACTGTCTCAGAAGTTAAGAAAGTTAGTTTTTTCCCCCACTGTGTTTTCGAGTTGTTCTTTGCTGATGCCAGAGGGTCTAAGGTTCTCCCCGTGTCTGCGAAGGTTTCCTCCAGGTGCTCCGGTTTCCCCTACCACTAAAAACATGCACAATAGGTCTGAGTGTAGATGAGAGAGTGAATGGATGGTGTTGGGTCAGAGGCTTTGATGGTCCAGTGTGTTCTGGACTCGCTTCCGTCATCACCGTGTGTGGAAGGATTGGAACAATATCTGACTCTGAACATTGTAAAGAGCTTTGGGTCTGTACCTTGGTATGAGAAATGCGCTATATAAATAAACATTACTTACTTTTACTGAGGCTGCGGTGTCGAACTATTTTCAGTCTGGGGCCAAAGATTAAAAGTAGGAACTAGTCAGGGGCCGTGAGAAAAGAAGGGATGTCCTGTTCTTATAATTGTTTTTTACATTATGAAGGTGTTTTGACTTTTTTTAATATTACTTTCTGGTAACGTGTTTATTGTTTATTCAAAAGTGGACCTAATATAAAGTAAATCACATTGTTTTATATTCAACTAATTACCTTCTATTGATGTGTTGGATTAAAATTTCATAATAAATGAAATGTGGTTGTTTTCTTGAAAGTGGATGTATGACATGCCCTTGGAAGCCCAGTACCATCAATGCTGGAAGTTTATGATGATAGTAGAAAATCATTTTAGGTGCCTCCAAAAATGGTCTTGAGGGCCGTATTTGGCCCACGAGCCTGAGTTTGACATGTCTGGTCTGAGGACGGATTTATGAACATTTTGTCTCTCTCTTTGGACCAATGACTTCAATACAACTCACTCAGGCTCATTACATACGTCACAGTAAACAGAACATTTTGATCACTCTTGTTGGGATTCAGGGCTGTGCAAAAATAACAGATCAGGGAATAAAACGGTCCAAACAGAGGGTTATGAAAACAAACACATAGGAACCGATGATCCAGGGGTGTCTAACTGGTCCTCAAAGGCCCGGCGTGGCTGTGGATTTTAGACATCACAATCACCAGCTCCAGTTTCCAAACAAACCCTTGCTCCATTGTCTCCCAGGATCAGACTCCACTACTCTCTGCATCGCCCTCTAGTGCTCAGCCTTTGTATGACGTCTATCAGTGATGTCTGTGTGATCTCTCCCTCTTGTGTGACCTCTTGTGTTGCCTTTCTGTGTCCTCAGATCGCTCAGAAGTACGACCTGGCGGCGGAGGAGGAGCTGAGGCGGTGGATCGAGGGCGTGACGGGCGCCGAAATCGGACCAGACTTCCAGAAGGGCCTGAAGAGCGGCGTGATCCTGTGCAAGTGAGACCAAGACCCACTATATAATACCCCCCTTCACACACAACACAGCCACGTATACACACACTTGTCGATTCAATGTGTTTTTGTATAGCCCTAAATCACAACAGTTCAGACACCTTAGTCCATTAGGGGCGTTTGACCAATGTCTAAAAAGTGTGTGTCGTTTTTCACAAGATGCTACATAGCTGTACCGTATTAGCCGCATCAGCTAAACTTGAAAACAAAATATACATTGCACATAACCTGTAGCTTTCGTTCTATTTTCCTTGTTAAACGTTTCATGTGACCGTTTGAGCGTCTTTGAGAACGCTAAAACATTTAATATTTGTAGGTCTCACTAAAATGTTGGCATTTCGTCTGCTAGGAGGCTAGGCTAACGCTGATCTCAGGGGTCAAGAGCCCTTTTCACCCCGAGAGCTGCTTTCTCTGGACCAGACAACAGCGAGCTACTTCTTAACTGACTGCGGGGAAAATGTCTATTTAATTATGAGAGAAAGCCTTAGATCGGGGCACGTCACCTTTAATTGCCAAATGATAGTAGGAAGAATTCGGTTACACTATAGATGTGCTTTAGGGCGAAACTAAAATGAATTGATTTAATGACGTCAGACCTCTGCCTTTGTTGTTTTAGCTGAAGTCGTGTGGAGTGAATTAAAACGTTTATTTTCTCCTTTTCTCACAGACTCATCAACGTGCTGCACCCAAACTCTGTGAAGAAAATCAACACGTCTGAACTCAACTGGTACCAGGTGAGGACCAGGGTCAAAAATACACAGTCCAGGAACTTTACCACCAGGCTACTTTTAAAGGAGAAACTATGTGCTCTATTTTGGACCATTAGACGCGAAAAAGAGGCCATTATTTATTTTTGTGTGTGTATTTTTGAATGTGAAAGAATCTCTCCGGTAGAAAGCAGTTAAACTAGTGTGAAGGGTAAATAATGCTGTCGACCTGTAACTCCCTGCGCTGCCACCAGAGGGAGGAGTAGAATGAGTTTGGCTTCATTCCAAACTTGAAAATTACCAGCTGCCACCACAGCATGTCATTGTAAAGATCTTTAGAAAATGCCAAAACTCTTAAACTGAAAAGAAAGGGACTAGTGAGACGGATTAGTAGTAAGAATTTGATTTAAAATGTTATTCAGAGCGAAACTATAAACAGGAAACATAATAAACAGAAATTAGCCGTTTGGAAAAAGAGGCTGCAGCGACTTCTATGGCTCCAACCTCTCACTCAATCAACACAACACAACACAACATACACACGCACAACACACACTCACACACACACGCCCAAACACTCTCTGACCACACACCTCTCTCCCACTACTTGTTCTGTGCTGAAGTCCTCACTCTTCCCTTACTTATGTGTGTGTCTGTGTGTGTGTGTCTGTTTGTGTGTGTGTCTGTGTGTGTGTTGTTTTGTTTAAGTCACTCGAAAAGTTTAAGTCTGGGCCATGCATAGGATTTATTTTCAGTCCTGGTGACGCCTTTAAACACATCTTTCTCGCATGAATAATGATAATAATGGGCTCCTAAAGTCCCTCCTCCTTGGTCTCTCTCTGGTCTCTCTGGTCTCTCTCTGGTCTCTCTCTGGTCTCTCTCTGGTCTCTCTCTGGTCTCTCTCTGGTCTCTCTCTGGTTTCTTTCTGGTCTCTCTCTGGTCTCTCTCTCTGGTCTCTCACTGGTCTCTCTCTCTGGTCTCTCTCTGGTCTCTCTCTGGTCTCTCTCTGGTCTCTCTCTGGTCTCTTTCTGGTCTCTCTCTGGTCTCTCTCTGGTCTCTCTCTGGTCTCTCTCTGGTCTCTCTCTGGTCTCTCTCTGGTCTCTCTCTGGTCTCTCTCTGGTCTCTCTCTGGTCTCTCGCTGGTCTCTCTCTCTGGTCTCTTGCTGGTCTCTCTCTCTGGTCTCTCTCTCGTTTTTCTCTTGGTCTCTCTCTCGTTTTTCTCTTGGTCTCTCTCTCGTTTTTCTCTTGGTCTCTCTCTCTGGTCTCTCTCTAGTCTCTCTCTCTGGTCTCTCTCTAGTGCCTCTCTCTGGTCTCTCTCTGGTCTCTCTCTCTGGTCTCTTTCTGGTCTCTCTCTGGTCTCTCTCTCTCTCTGGTCTCTCTCTGTGTTCTCTCTCTCTGGTCTCTCTCTCGTTTTTCTCTTGGTCTCTCTCTCGTTTTTCTCTTGGTCTCTCTCTCTGGTCTCTCTCTGGTCTCTCTCTAGTCTCTCTCTCTGGTCTCTCTCTCTGGTCTCTCTCTCGTCTCTCTCTCTGGTCTCTCTCTGGTCTCTTTCCGGGTTTTCTCTCTGGTATGGTATGTACTTTATTTGAACAGGGATAGTGTACAATTAAATATTAACACAAAGGAGAGATGCACGTGCCAGGTTATAGCAACGATGCTAAATCCACCTGTAGTCCCTGGGCAGGCTGGTTTCTCTCAATGATCTCTCTCTGGTTTCTCTCACTGGTCTCTCTCACGGATCTCTCTCTCTGGTCTCTCTCACTGATCTCTCTCTCTGATCTCTCTGGTCTCTCTCTCTGATCTCTCTCTGATCTCTCTCTGGTCTCTCTCTGGTCACTCTCTCTGGTCACTCTCTCTGGTCACTCTCTCTGGTCTCTCTCACTGATCTCTCTCTCTGGTCTCTCTGGTCTCTCTCATGGACCAGTTCAGTGAAGATCCACTTTTACAAAACACAGAGCTGATGCAATGTCATTATTGTGTCGTTGTTGTGTAAACTGAGGCTGAAAGACAACACAAAGAGCTTTTGTCTTCTCTCTGTGACACCCAAGGGACACCCAAGGGACACCCAAGGGACACCCAAGGGACACCCAAGGGACACCCAAGGGACACCCAAGGGCCCTCTGTATTCAGCAAAGGTGCATCTTGCTAGTAATCAAACTTTTCCAAACACAGGGGTTGGAATAGTGCCAACACGACTGAAACTTTAGCACATGTTGTCGCCTTTTCAAATAAAAAGTGGGTCTTGCACCAGTATTATACAGAGTGAATAGTTTGTGGACACACATGTTTTGGGGGTTGACTCTACAAGCACATCTAGAGACTGAAAGTTTTTCCCATTCGTCAAAACAACAACAACAACAAAATGTCTCGAGCAAGAGTCGGAGAGAGTTTGTGAAAAGCAGTTTCCACAGATTTTCAGTTGGACTTTGTGGACTTAGGTCTTGTCTTTGACTCGGCCATTCCAACACATGAGGTGTTTTGGATTCTATTCCAAGAAAATTCTGATTCAGATTAATTTATTTGCCATTTGCAGTAAAACCACATTGGAATACATTGTTGAAAGTCCCCAGTGTGCACAAGTCAAGTACATACATAAAACGGTAAACAATTGTCACTGTGAAATCGAATAAATAAATTTTTTTCAATACAAGAGTAAGATCATTAAAGTGCTCTGTTCAAACTGATAACAGCCTGTGGGAAGAAGCTGTTAGCCTATCGAAATGTCCTGCATCTCAGAGAACTATCTTCTGCCAGATGGAAGAAGCTGGAACAAGGCTTTTCCAGGGTGGCCAGAAGAGTCATTGATAATTCTTAGAGCTCGGTTTAAAAGTCTTGATTCATAAAGAACCTCCAGAACAGGAAGCTCACCGCCCACAGTCCTCTTTGCAGAGCGGAGCACCTTGTTTATAGCTCTCCTTCCTTTTGTCTGTGATGTCACCAAACCACAGTTACAGAACCAACAAACAAAAATTAGTTTATGTTTAGGTCATTGTTTCGCTGGAAGACAAACATCCCCTGCCTCATGTGTTCTGTGGACTCCTCCAAAGTTCTCCTCCAAAATTCTCCTGTTTTTGGCTTTATTCATCTCCCCATCAATCTTTACAAGCTTCCCTGCCCCTGCTGACGAAAATCAACCCCATAGCATGATGCTGCCACCCCCATTTTTGATACAGGAGAAGGTGCACTGATGACGATGAGTTGGGGTTAGATTTGACTCATATATAACTTAAGTTTCTCCTATGGGGGATCAATACAGTATCTCTCAATCTATAACATTTTGAATTCGGATCATCAAGTTTCGTTTGGCCATAAAAATGAAAAAGTTCAAAGTGTATGAATACTTTTGCGGCTCCGGCTCGTCTCTCTCTCTGTGTTTAAACCATTCCTTGACCACAGCTGCTTTTTGCTTCTGTTTTGCAGCTGGAGAATGTCAACAACTTCTTGGCGGGGATTAAATCTTACGGGATGAAGACCCACGACACGTTCGAGGCCAGCGACCTGTTCGACAACACCAACCTGACCCAAGTCCAGACCACACTGCTCGCCCTCGCCAGCATGGTAACAACTGCTTCTGTTACTCAAACCGCCAAATGCCAGTGACAAAATAAAGACCAGGAAACTATTGGTACGCACTTAACCCAAAAGATAGAAATCAAATCCAGTTCCGTTTGTTCAGGACATTCCAAAGTGCTGCGTGAGCGAAGCACTAAACTAATAAAACCAGTTGAATCAAAGAGCGTAGTGATGAAACGGCAATAACTACAGTAAAAACATGGCTATAAAAAAAAAATAAAAAAAAAAGAGTTTCACGTGATGATTGTGTAAACTCGTCCTTATCAATTAAATCAATACATAAAAAACAATAAAATCAAATGAATACAATGCAAGATGATAAAAGTGGGTCTTAAAGGTATAGTGGAGGATTTTCACACATTTTCGGAAAGAACCGCCCTCTCCACTTTTTGATCAAAACTCTCTGGTCTTATTTGACGAGCACGTATCACCAGAACGATTGACAATTAATTGTCTTGATGATCCACCTGAAAGTAAAAAATCCTCCTATATACCTTTAAGACGAGCCTCAAGAGTGTTCTGGAGTGTTTCGGCAATGGAAAAATGCAGCCTGCGGAAATTCCAGATACCTGCCGCAGCCCGTCCAGGCCGGCCTTCTTACCTTCGGCCTATCGCACAGCAGAGCCTATTCCCCGCCGACCTATGACAGCCAAGCCAGCAGCTTAATGCTTAGCGTACATCGGACTGGCAACTGATTTATATCCGTCGCATATGAGTTGCTGCCCCGCACACAGCGACAATCTGGCGAAAACGGCCAGTCCGGGGAATAACAGCGCATACATCGACAGCAACTGGCCTCAACTACAGTGTGTTTTCTGACATAAACTGTAGAGGGCGCAATACACACATGTTGTTGGAGCACATCGGTGATATCTCCGGATCTGAGGACAACTAGCTGCCGAAAAGTAGAACACGGGCAACTGACTGAATCCGGAGATCGACTGTTTATCTCCAGTTGTAAGAGCGCTCACATCGACCGATTTCGGCAACTGATCATCTCCGTCATCTGCTCTCAGTTGCCAAAAGCCGCCTTTGCAACTATTGTCTCCAGTTACTCTGTCGATGTACGCTAGGCTTAAAAGCAGAAACTCCCTCAGCACTGCCCTCTCAAGCCTCGCAATCACCGCCTCCTCCTCCTCTTCTTCTGCTTCTGCTTGCCTGGACGCCACCACCAGTGCCTAGGTCCCGGGGGATCTTGAGCACAATCAAGGAGCTTCGCAGAAATGTGTAATTGCGCTGCAGTAGAGGGTTGATTGTCAGTTGTGTTTAACTGCTAATAATTGTTAGCTCCTGGTGTTAGCTCTCACCGTCACTGCGTCTGTCTCTGTCTCAGGCCAAGACCAAAGGCCACTCTCAGGTGGACATCGGAGTGAAGTACGCAGACAAACAGGAGCGCATGTTCGACGAGGAGAAGATGAAGGCCGGACAGTGTGTGATCGGACTGCAGGTACACACAACATGCAGTATACTACACACAACACACAACACATGCAGTATGCTACACACACACATGCAGTATACTACACACAACACACAACACAAGCAGTATACTACACACAACACATGCAGTATACTACACACAACACATGCAGTATACTACACACAACACATGCAGTATACTACACACAACACATGCAGTATACTACACACACACATGCAGTATACTACACACACACATGCAGTATACTACACACACACATGCAGTATACTACACACACACATGCAGTATACTACACACACACATGCAGTATACTACACACACACATGCAGTATACTACACACACACATGCAGTATACTACACACAACATGCAGTATACTACACACAACATGCAGTATACTACACACAACACACAACACATGCAGTATACTACACACAACACATGCAGTATACTACACACAACACATGCAGTATACTACACACACACATGCAGTATACTACACACACACATGCAGTATACTACACACACACATGCAGTATACTACACACACACATGCAGTATACTACACACAACACACAACACAAGCAGTATACTACACACACATGCAGTATACTACACACAACACACAACACAAGCAGTATACTACACACACACATGCAGTATACTACACACAACACATGCAGTATACTACACACAACACATGCAGTATACTACACACAACACATGCAGTATACTACACACAACACATGCAGTATACTACACACAACACATGCAGTATACTACACACAACACATGCAGTATGCTACACACAACACATGCAGTATGCTACACACAACATGCAGTATACTACACACAACACACAACACATGCAGTATACTACACACAACACATGCAGTATACTACACACACACATGCAGTATACTACACACAACACATGCAGTATACTACACACGACACATGCAGTATACTACACACGACACATGCAGTATACTACACACGACACATGCAGTATACTACACACACACATGCAGTATACTACACACACACATGCAGTATACTACACACAACACATGCAGTATACTACACACAACACATGCAGTATGCTACACACAACACATGCAGTATACTACACACGACATGCAGTATACTACACACGACACATGCAGTATACTACACACGACACATGCAGTATACTACACACACACATGCAGTATACTACACACACACATGCAGTATACTACACACAACACATGCAGTATACTACACACAACACATGCAGTATGCTACACACAACACATGCAGTATACTACACACAACACATGCAGTATACTACACACGACACATGCAGTATACTACACACAACACATGCAGTATACTACACACACACATGCAGTATACTACACACACACATGCAGTATACTACACACAACACATGCAGTATACTACACACAACACATGCAGTATACTACACACAACACATGCAGTATACTACACACAACACATGCAGTATGCTACACACAAAACATGCAGTATACTACACACAACACATGCAGTATACTACACATACACATGCAGTATACTACACACAACACATGCAGTATACTACACACGACACATGCAGTATACTACACACGACACATGCAGTATACTACACACGACACATGCAGTATACTACACACGACACATGCAGTATACTACACACGACACATGCAGTATACTACACACGACACATGCAGTATACTACACACGACACATGCAGTATACTACACACAACATGCAGTATACTACACATACACATGCAGTATACTACACACGACACATGCAGTATACTACACACGACACATGCAGTATACTACACACGACACATGCAGTATACTACACACGACACATGCAGTATACTACACACAACATGCAGTATACTACACACAACATGCAGTATACTACACATACACATGCAGTATACTACACACAAAACATGCAGTATACTACACATACACATGCAGTATACTACACACACACATGCAGTATACTACACATACACATGCAGTATACTACACATACACATGCAGTATACTACACATACACATGCAGTATCCTACACACACACATGCAGTATACTACACACACAAATGCAGTATACTACACACATACACATGCAGTATACTACACACACACATGCAGTATACTACACACAACACATGCAGTATACTACACACAACATGCAGTATACTACACACAACATGCAGTATACTACACACAACATGCAGTATACTACACACACACATGCAGTATACTACACATACACATGCAGTATACTACACACAACACATGCAGTATACTACACATACACATGCAGTATACTACACACAACACATGCAGTATACTACACACGACACATGCAGTATACTACACACGACACATGCAGTATACTACACATACACATGCAGTATACTACACACGACACATGCAGTATACTACACACGACACATGCAGTATACTACACACGACACATGCAGTATACTACACACAACATGCAGTATACTACACACAACATGCAGTATACTACACATACACATGCAGTATACTACACACAAAACATGCAGTATACTACACATACACATGCAGTATACTACACACACACATGCAGTATACTACACATACACATGCAGTATACTACACATACACATGCAGTATACTACACATACACATGCAGTATCCTACACACACACATGCAGTATCCTACACACACACATGCAGTATACTACACACACAAATGCAGTATACTACACACATACACATGCAGTATACTACACACACACATGCAGTATACTACACACAACCCATGCAGTATACTACACACAACATGCAGTATACTACACACAACATGCAGTATACTACACACACACATGCAGTATACTACACACACACATGCAGTATACTACACATACACATGCAGTATACTACACACAAAACATGCAGTATACTACACATACACATGCAGTATACTACACATACACATGCAGTATACTACACACAACACATGCAGTATACTACACATACACATGCAGTATACTACACACACACACATGCAGTATACTACACACAACACATGCATATACTGGTTTGGACTATCGTCTCTGCTCTGGTCTGGATCAGCGTAAAACCATGAACACTACTGTACTGTAGCAACATTTGACAGCTAGAAAAAAGCAAGAAAATATTCATTGTAAAACACACAACAACAGTTTCAGAGCGACTCAGAACTTGCTGCTGTCTCCAGAGCATTCAAACACACACACAACAATGATACGTAATCATGAAAACTGCCTGATGTCTCTTCCTCGTGGCCCTGGTTTTTAGTTGTTGATTTTATTATGAGACGCACGGAGACAACTTAACAGTGAAATCTGAGATAGAAGATGGTTTAGAAGTTTGGTGTTGACATGACATTACGGTGATAACATGACACTCTATATCATGAGTGTCAAAGTCGAGGCCCGGGGGTCAGATCCGGCCCTCATGACAAACTTTAGTGGCCCCTAAAATTCTTTGTTTTCATTATTAACGTGCAACATTGATAGTCATGGGCCACCAAGGGAGGTTATAAATCATCTATGTTCTCAGAAACACAATTTTTTTTTATGTATTCTAACATTTTAACCCAAAAACACATCATTAGAAGTTAAATAGTTCAATATAAAATGTGTTTAACTTTATATTTGATCCAGTTTTGGTTCAATTTAAACGATAAACACATTTTGTTTTCAGAAAAATCAACCATAAAATAACAGTGAAACTCATGCCACATTAAAGTCATGTTAAAATACCTTCATAATGTTAACTGACAGGGCAACAGTAGCTTCCCATCTCTGTGTGGAGTGAGAGGACAAGTGCCCAAAAATAACAATTGTAAACCGCTTTGTGACTCTGGTCTGTGAAAGGCGGTATATAAATAAAGCTTACTATTAGCTCAGAACAGTGGCCTTTGAGCCTGGAGGTCGTGAGTTCGATTCCCACCATGGGACCTACTCCAACTGCTCCCACTAATGTCTACTGTCGTTGTGTCATTGGGCAAGACACTTAACCCCACGTTGCCTGAAGCCCCCGCTGAAAGACCAAGGCTGTTTCACCGCTGACAGAGCAGCCATCTTCCTGTGGACTCACCCCCTGCAGAGGATCAGCGAGGGACTGGCGCTATGAGCATTGGGTGGCAGCTCTCATTGCCACCCCCCTGACCCAGAAATGGACAATAAAGTGCTTGAAAATAAAATGAAATGAAAAATGAAATGAAATGTTAAAAATGTTAAAAAATGTTATAAGAAAAGGAAATCTCTCTTTTTTTTTTAATTGGCCCCTGACCTGCTCTATATTGTAATCAGAATCATTTTTACTGCCATTGTGAGCAGTAGCAAGTCACAAACTAGGAATTTGCTTTGGCTCACTGTATAAACATGGAAAAATGGGTAAAATCGGTCAAAAAGGTAAATTAGGGGGACTCAAACCTGGACCATTGGACTGGACTAGTCTATATTATACATGTCATTGTGGAGGCTTTATCCTTTTGCCAGTCCCACTTTAACAGACACAAAGCAGAGACAGAGACAGGTGCAGAGAGGCAGTGCTGAAACTTGGCCTCGGGTCAAACCTCACGGCGCTGACTTCACCTTCGAAAAGCGCCGCAGGTGACGGATGATGATGGTTCAGTGACAGACGAGTGTGTTGTTCTACGGAGAGAGAGAGAGAAGATATTGTTCCAGGGACAAAAGGGAAGTGCATTCGTAGAAACGCAGAAGTGCAGCTAGAAAAATATGAGGAGTGTTTACGGTGTCATTACCAAGAAGCAGAGATGGTACAGTGCAAATAACTTCACTCATCGGTAACTTGAGATGTTTTTGAAAATGTACTTTTTGTAGATAACACAGCTGTGATTGTGTGTGCCTAATTAACAGGGCAGACCACTCAATTCACTGAAACATAATTAAGACAAATTGAACCGCCAAAAAACATAGCTGAATTTGGATGGGTTTTCCTAACTTCAGATTAATTTATTTACCACTTACAATAAAACCCTAACCAGACCCTTATAGATCCATAATTTAGGGTATTTTTCTTCTACTTTAAATCACTGTGGTGGGTTATATTGATCCAAGGATTGCACAAGGGTTGAACTTGTTTCTTAACTGCACAATATTATACGCTTGGTGAAGTTGGTGGGACCATGGACTGCAGATACGACCCAAGATTATACAGTAGCTATAGCACCAGAATTTGCAATTATAATAATTACTAAACTGTGTGCGTGTCTCTGTCTGTTCTGTCTCTGTCTCTCTCTCTCTCTCTCTCTATCTTTATCTCGGTCTCTCCCTCTCTGGATCTCCCTCTGTCTGTCTCTCTCTCTCTCGGTCTCTCCCTCTCTGGATCTCCCTCTGTCTCTCCCTTTCTCTCTATCTCTCTCTTCTTTCTTCTCTCTCTCTGTCTCTCTTCTTTCTTCTCTCTCTCTGTCTCCTCTCTTTTCTTTCTTCTCTCTGTTCAGATGGGGACCAACAAGTGTGCCAGTCAGGTGGGCATGGGAGCATACGGCACTCGCAGACACCTGTACGACCCTAAAGCCCCCGTGCAGACCCCCATGGACAACACCACCATCAGCCTGCAGATGGGCACCAACAAGGGGGCCAGCCAGGTGAGACACACACACACACACACGCACACGCACACGCACACACACGCACACGGGGGCCATAAAACCAGCCCACACTCGCCTCCACCACGCCCCTGTCTGGAGGCTCTCTCTGGAAGCTATAACCTGCCATTGTGTGTCTGAGGCTGCAGAGAGAAGGACATGTTTTGGCCTGTGGAGGGGGGACTTTTTGCAGGGTTAGCCAAACGAGCAATGGTGCAAACACGTGTTTTTGTGTAGCCCTAAATCACAACAGCAGTTTGTCTCGGAAAATTCTGTCGATTCGCCAAGAACAGATCAGAGAAGCAGTTTGAACGCAGGACATACAATAAAAACGCATGGAGCCATCGTTTCATACAGAGCTGGATGTCCTTCACTGTCCATAAACGTTAATAATGGACGTGATCTACATCTACACACCCAGAGAAGACAAAATCCTACGTGTTTTTGGCTTCTCTCTTCACCAGTGGATCCGAGCAGACCATACACCAGACCTGGGAAAACATGTGGCCCAATGAATCCTGCCCAGTAACTTTCCTAGTAACAATTTGTCAAAAACATTTCTCTTTATAACAGTCTAATTACTTCTTGGCCTTATTTACCATTTTTTCTCAAACCAAGAAAGAATATTGACACATTGATGCTCAAAAAACAAGCAACACTAGCCACAGATGCTAACAATGAGCTATAAACAAACAAAACTCAAATAGATAAACAATTAGAACTAAATATTGATCTAAATCTGACCTGTATGATGTTTACGGTATTGGATAAAACTTCACAAATCTTGTCAAATTCAGTATCAGGGTTCAGTTTGACATTTACGATAATGGAAAGTCAGACTACACAATGGCGTAACAACTGATAAAGGTTCTTTTTATGGTATCTGCTGAAACTCGAGGTCGTCCATCTGTTCCGCTGACATTATATCAGCCCGTTCTTGCAGAGAGGTGACATCATCTCTGCTCCTGTGTGTGTGAAGCTAATTTCCTTATATCAGTACCCATATAAGGAAATTAGCTTTTTGTTTGACTTCATCCATTTTGACTGTGCTATGGCTAATAAAACTAGATGGAGTCAAAATAATAAGTCCATAAACTCAGACTCTACCACCATTAGCCACATTGCTATATAAGCCGCGGGGTCAAGGAACTAGAAATGAGCCTATAGGCAATTACAGTTATGGTAAAAACAAAGGCAGGTTGCTCACCCATCGTCTGGATTAAGAACGAAACGTCGGAAAACCTGCTAACTGAAATACAAAGAACTTTCTCCAGGAACTTAATGCTCAGCCACGAGTTGGAGATTTATAACCTGTGGATGTGTTTAGACCCCCCCTGATCCCCCCTAACTCATTAACACATCTACAGTCTGCTAAGATGTGGTTAGGTGCAGGTCTAACGATCCTGATTGGTCTAATGATCCTGTTAGGTTTAACGATCCTGTTAGGTTTAGGCTATATCCACACGAAGACAAAACGCTTATAATTTCAGAAACTTTTTCTGTAAACACGGAGTTAGCTCAGTAAATGTGTGCGTCCATATGAATGTAGTCAATACGCCTGAAAACGCTGTGAAACTATGCCAGACCTGTTGGTGGCGCTGTGACGCAATGACGGGATCAAGCCCAAACTTCCGTGACGGGAACTGGGCATGCGCGGAATTTTGTAAGCAGACAACATGGCGAGTGGGCGAGCTGGTACTACATTAGTATGGACGGACGATGAGGTTGAACTGTTGCTTCGGGTCGCACTGGATTACAAAACCAACAAGCTACATTGTTGTTGTCATTATTTTCTGAGTGCGGCGCATGCGTGCTTTAACAAGAGGCGGGGCGATGACGCAAGCGTCTCAGATACATTGCGGAGAGGCAGTAACCACGGAGCGGCATATACGGAGTTTTGAAATCTTTCCACTCTGGGACCTAGTTTCAAAAAGGCAAGGCAAGGCAAGTTTATTTGTATAGCACAATTCATACACAAGGCAACTCAAAGTGCTGAACAAGATGGCATTAAAATCATAAATAATCACAGAACATTAAAAAGAAAGATAAAAATATAAAATCCCTCAGTTGTATGCACAGCTAAACAGCACAGTTTTTAACTTGGTTTTAAACATAGTCAGAGAGGAAAAATTTTCGTTTACACCCCCCCAAAACGCCGGCCTCGTATGGACGATACACTGGATTGATAAAGTATTTTTGCGTTTAGGCCTGAGCTTGACTTCGTGTGGACAGGGCCTTAATGATCCTGTTGGGTCTAACGATCCTGTTGGGTCTAACGATCCTGTTGGGTCTAACGATCCTAACTCAATAGCATGTCATTGACCTACACATTGACCTTATACCCGGACTTATACTAGGATTTACACCGGGACTTACACCGGGACTTACACCGGGACTTACACCGGGACTCACACCGGGACTCACACCGGGACTCACACCGGGACTCACACCGGGACTCACACCGGGACTCACACCGGGACTCACACCGGGACTCACACCGGGACTCACACCGGGACTCACACCCGGACTCACACCGGGACTCACACCCGGACTCACACCCGGACTCACACCCGGACTCACACCCGGACTCACACCCGGACTCACACCCGGACTCACACCCGGACTCACACCCGGACTCACACCCGGACTCACACCGGGACTCAGACCGGGACTCACACCGGGACTCACACCCGGACTCACACCGGGACTCACACCGGGACTCACACCCGGACTCACACCCGGACTCACACCGGGACTCACCCCGGACTCACACCCGGACTCACACCCGGACTCACACCCGGACTCACACCCGGACTCACACCCGGACTCACACCCGGACTCACACCCGGACTCACACCCGGACTCACACCCGGACTCACACCCGGACTCACACCCGGACTCACACCCGGACTCACACCCGGACTCACACCCGGACTCACACCCGGACTCACACCCGGACTCACACCCGGACTCACACCCGGACTCACACCCGGACTCACACCCGGACTCACACCCGGACTCACACCCGGACTCACACCCGGACTCACACCCGGACTCACACCCGGACTCACACCCGGACTCACACCGGGACTCACACCGGGACTCACACCGGGACAATAGAATGACAGAAGTATCAGATGGATATGTAGTCACGCAGTAATAACAACAGTGACTAGTCAATTATCACTGACACTTGTACAGACTCGGTTCTCGTTGTACAGTCTGACAGCAGCAGGGAGGAAGGACCTGCGAAACCTCTCCTTCACACAGCGAGGGTGAATAAGTCTGTCACTGAATCTGCTCCAGGGCCGTACGGGAGGGGGGCCCACGCGGTGCATTGTCCCCACAGCACACGCCGGGTCGCCTCCAGCCTCCAGCCATGCCTGACCTGCTTCTCTCTCTTTCACTAACGCAATTTGTTTACTCCAGTTCCCCCGTACAAGCCCTGGCCCTGGGCTTTGACACAACAAAAGAGATTAGGGGGAAAAATATATACAAATGTTAGCTGTGTTTTTGTCAATATATTGTGTATTACTTGTATTTAGGAGTGTGTGGATATGTCTGAGTATTTGGTTAAAATTATCCGCCACTGGAGCAAGGGATGGTTTTTCTGCATTGTGGATTTACTACAGAAAACTACACAATACTACACAAAACTACACAAAACTACACACGTGATTTTTAGCAGAAGCAGTCATCTCTTCTCACACAAAGGGGGGAAAGGAATTGGTCAAAAGAATTTTAAATGTGAACAGTTGTCAAGAAATGGGCACAAGGTTGGAACTCTACAAAATCAGTGAGAGAGATTAGAGCGCACACAAAACGACACATGACACGACAAAAAAACACGACACACACAATACGACAAAAAACATGGTACAACAAAAAACTCACACGAAACACAACAAAAAGCACGACAAAAAAAACACACACAAAATTACACACACAACAAAGACACACACACAATGCGACAAAAAGACACACACACAAAATGACACACACAATACGACAAAGACACACACACAAAATGACACACAAAAAGATACACACACAAAATGACACACAAAAAGATACACACACAAAATGACACACAATACGACAAAATGACACACACACAATACAACAAAAAACACATGATACAACAAAGACACACACACACAACACAACAAAAAGACACACACACAAAATGCCACACATGACATTACAAAAAAACACGACACACACAATACGACAAAAAACATGATACAACAAAAAGCTCACACGAAACACAACAAAAAGCACGACAAAAAAAACACACACAAAATGACACACACAACAAAAAGACACACACACAAAATGACACACACAATACGACAAAAAGACACACACACACAAAATGACACACACAATACAACAAAAAGACACACACACAAAATTACACACAATACGACAAAGACTCACACACAAAATGACACACAATACGACAAAATGACACACACACAAAATGACACACACAATACAATAAAAACACATGATACAACAAAAAGACACACGCACACAACACAACAAAAAGACACACACACAAAATGCCACACAACACGACAAAATAACAAAAAGACACACACACAAAATGCCACACAACACGACAAAATGACACACACAATACGACAAAAAACACATGATACAACAAAAATCCCACCCACAACACAACAAAAAAACACGCACAAAAGGACACACACAATACGAGAAAAAGCACACACACGACCAAGACACACAGACGCGACAAAAACACACACACGCACATTGTCCAACAAAGGTTAAAAACTAACACCGGTGGCTGAGTGGTTAGCATTCTCGCTTCTCAGCAAGAAGATCCTGGGTTCTGATCCCGGTCAGAACAGGGTCTCTCTGAGTGGAGTTTGCATGTTCTCCCTGTGTCTTTTACCTTGTAATGAGAAGAGTTTGCTTTTCTCTGTGTCTTCCTGTGTGTTCATGATACAACAAAAATCTCACACAAAACACAACAAAAAGCACGACAAAAAAAAACACACACAAAATGACACACACAAAATGACACACACAACAAAAAGACACACACGCAATACGACAAAAAGACACACACACAAAATGACACACACAATACGACAAAAAGACACACACACAATACGACAAAAAGACACACACACAAAATGACACACAAAAAGATACACACACAAAATGACACACAATACGACAAAAAGACACACACAAAATGACACACAATACGACAAAATGACACACACACAATACAACAAAAAACACATGATACAACAAAAAGACACACACACACAACACAACAAAAAGACACACACACAAAATGCCACACATGACACGACAAAAAAACACGACACACACAATACGACAAACATGATACAACAAAAAGCTCACACAAAGCACGACAAAGATACACACACAAAATGACACACACAACAAAAAGACACACACACAATACGACAAAAAGACACACACACAAAATGACACACACAATACTACAAAAAGACACACACACAAAATGACACACAAAAAGACACACACACAAAATGACACACAATACGACAAAAAGACACGCACACAAAATGACACACACAATACTACAAAAAGACACACACACAAAATGACACACAAAAAGACACACACACAAAATGACACACAATACGACAAAAAGACACGCACACAAAATGACACACACAATACAACAAAAAACACTGTCTTTTACCTTGTAATGATGAGAAGAGTTTGCTTTTCTCTGTGTCTTCCTGTCTGTTCATGCTGCTGAATAAAAAATAAAATAATAAACAAATGTCTCCTCAGGCCGGTATGACAGCCCCGGGAACCCGCAGAGCCATCTACGACCAGAAGCTGAACACGGAGCACTGCGACAACACCACCATGTCGCTGCAGATGGGCTACAGCCAGGGCGCCAACCAGAGCGGCCAGAACTTCGGCCTGGGGCGCCAGATCTACGACTCCAAATACTGCCCCAAGGCTCAGAGCGCCAACGGGGACGCCAACGGGGGAGCAGGGGGGGAGCAGGAGTACAGCCCAGACTACCAGGACCAGGGCTACCACGAGGAGTACCCCCAGGCCGAGACCGAGTACTGAGGACCGGGGGAGACCGATACTGCGTCAGAAATCATCAAAAATACCTCCTTTCTCTTCCTTGTCCCTTTTAAAGCTCGGGTACTTAACTTTCAAACTATACGAATCTAAGCTAGTACCTGGCTATAGAAAAAAACAGCTTGGTTCTTTTACTAGTTTTGCATTTATTTGGCCTCAGTTACATCTTTAGCTCTGCTTTTTTAGACTGAAAAGTGCCAAAATAGGACCACCCTCTCTCAGCAAATCAGCTCGGAGCCCAAAGAGTCCAGTAACGACTCGCAGGGCACATGTTGGCTAATATTATGAAGACTGCGTGTGGTGGGTTAAGATGCATCACTCGTTTTGATTATTTTTACGCAAAGGGAAAAGTATCTGCTGATTGCTAACTTGGCGTGCCCTTGTTTTTGCTGAAAAGGGGTGGGACTGTCTCAAGTTTATTTTAGCATTGAGCTTTAGCATTAGCATTAGCTCGATGTCATATTCTCACTATTCTCATTTAAATATGATGCTAAATTCTCTCAATTTTTGTTTTATTTCCCCATTTTTCTGACTGTAACTGACGACATCCAACTCTCGGGGTGTTCATTTGGCAACAATCTTGAGTATTTGGCCAAAACGGCTCTAATCTACACCAATATTATAATAATGTGGCTTTTTGTTGGTGTTAAACTATTATCTTGAACTAAAATGGCAGCAGAATTGAAGTCACATTGATCTATGAAGAGAAAAGAGGACGAGGAAGGAGATATTTTTTTGTGAATTGGGATGCAGCCCAAGTGTAGAAGGAACGCAAAACAACCTCACGGAGAGTTTTTTATTTTTGTATTTGAAGCTGGAGTGTGGAGAGCCCCGCGAGTCTGCAGGAGAAACCTTTTGCTTTTGCTAATGCTAATGCTAATGCTACAATTTGGTTTAGTTGTGTGGATTTGTAAGTGTAAAAGTCTTTTGATCCATTTTGACATCCTTAAATCGGTTAATATGGCTCAATTATGCATACAGCTTATTGCAGATGCGTTCGCCAACAGCAGATCAAAATCAAACCATTAGAAAAAAAAAAGCAACAATGATTATTGAGAAAACGGGTCAGACTAATGTCCACAAACGTCCAGGATCAGCCCCTGTCCTTCCGTAGACCCTTCTCCATCGGCAAGACTCCATCGCAGACTCCACCCATTTCATCAAATCTTCAGGTTAAGACTGAACTTGAGGAAATGGGCGGAGTCTGCTTTGCTCCTGTTGGGTCTGATGGAAAACCTGCAGCGGCCCTTTCTGGACCGGTTTGGACCCCTCTGTCATCGGGAATTAAAATCATACAAAAATATAATTCGTACATGAAGTGAGTGAAGACACAATCCTTCAATAGAGTTTACGAGCTCAGTCATACGGGGGGAGCTCGGAGTAGAGTCACTGCTCTTCCACGTCGAGCTGAACCAGGAGAGGCCCACCAGGAGGAGACCGGGGGGGGACAATCCAGGTGACGTTGGAGGGACTGTCTCTTCTCTCAGCCGGCCTGGAACAGCTCAGGATTCCACTGAATGAGCAGGAGGAGGTGTGCGTGGAGACGGGAAGTCCTGGCAACGGATAAAGCGGAAGAAAAGATTCCGAACCATGAAAAGTCAAAGAAATTTCAAGATATTACGTGTTGCTGAATATAGAAACGCCTCGTGTGTCTGCAGATTCAGTGGTTTTTCCGGTGTCGACTCGTGGGGCTCTCCTGCTGCTCTTTCTTCTATTGTTTTTTAGTATTTTTTTTAATACATTGCGTGTTTAAAACGATGTGACACATATCAAAATGAACTGTATTCTGTGATTTTTGTATTTAAAATAAGCACCACCGTAGCCAGTCTTTGGCTTAGTTTGGATCGTGCCAAATTAGCGTTTTTTTTTAGTAATTATGGATTTTTCTATTTACCGGCTACGAAATGAAACCTTATATATTTGATTAACTGTTGTGTATGTACCTTTTGAGAAGTGTTACATTGGCATTGTTCAGTATTGAGATATTCGGTGACTATAAGGGAACAGTGTATGCAGTTTTTTTTCTTTCAATCATTCCACGTCTTATTAGCGGAAGTGGCTTTTTGTTTTGTTTTAGCGGCTCGGCTGGAGCTGGGAGTGTTTGGGTTGGAGGTCTGCCCTCGACAAGTGAAGTTCAAAGCATTCCATGGAAAAAAATGAAAAAATAAATCAAGACCGAGACTGCATCCTTCTGTGAATTAATGTGTTTAAAAATCAAATGTTTTAGAATATGCAAAACCATTCCAGATTTTGATTCTCGTGATTATTTAAGCATTTTTTGTGATTATTATTATTATTTTTGTTAATTTTTGAACCTTCAGCATTGGACCAATCTGTTTCCTCTGGAGTCGTTTTTGTAGAAGTAGTAATAAAGTGAAATTAAATGGAAATGTTCTGTTACAATTGTAAAATAAAATAAAGTTTACATGTGTGGACTTTGATTATTGATTGTATTTATTGAGATGAATATTATAAAATGTATAGCATAGTAAAGAAGCTAGTATAAAATGTCTAGCTTTAGCATAATATGATTTGTTATTAGTTCCACAGTCAGCAAATTTCATACAAGATAGATAAAACTTTATTCTTCTCACAATAGACACATGTTGCATATGGCTTCACTCGGGGTCTGCAAATAGACAGGAAATGTACAAATAATTAACGGCACACCGTGTAACTCTTGGCCACTAGGGGCGCTAGACCTGCAACTTTCACGTTTAGCGCCCCTAGTGGCCACAAGCAACTCAGCACTGTCGCAAAAGTCAACAAACAGTCAGCCGGTGTCTTTTGAGTGTGTATTCAGACAGCATGCACTGGTGTATGTGTTCAAACTGTAGAGACATGCCTACAGATATTGAGAGACTCTGCTGTGGTCAGCCTCCAGACCGCTGCATTAGTAATCTACCACACATGGACTTCTATATCCTGGATGAGGGAGTTCTGCGTCTAGCTCGTGCTGCGTGGAATGACATCTTTGCAGTCGATGACATCCAGGAACCAGGTGAAGAGCAGCGCTCATACAGACATGCAGCTTACAGCACGATCCCTTTCGCGTTTCCTCTTTAGGTTTAAAATTTTTCCTTGCCTCAGCCATGACCAGGAGTCGAGCAGGTGAAAAATGAGTAGCAAAAGCCTTAGCTCCATGAGTATATCAGCGCCTGTAGCCGTAAAGCAAGTCTTTCTTCCAAGTCACGTGACCTGGTGGCAGACGGTCCGTCTGCTCGAAACTTACATGGGCGGTATTTCAAGAGGGCAGCCCCGCTCGGAGCATTGCAAGTGTCAAGCGCTGTATATTGGCCCAAGTATTCATATAAAATAACTCATATGTGTCAACTCTTTAGGTCACAAAGTCCGCGGTGTGCCTTTAAATATATAGATATATGGTTTTTTATGTGCACTAGAGGTAAAGAATATTTAATATGTACAATTTCCAAAAGTGACATTGGTTGTGCAAAGTTTTAAGTCCTAGTGCATCAATGTGTGACTTGTTGTACAGTCTGACAGCAGTGGAGATGAAGGTTATATTGCGTCACTTGGGACACAACAAAAACCCAATAGAAGTGATTAGCCTGGGAATAGCCATGCTGCTTTGTGTGTACCAGTCATTTTAACTGCATAACAGAAGTATCACAGCTAATACCATGCTTAAAGCTAACGCCTTATAATAATACTTGTACAATTGAAATGATCTTGTACTTTTTAACTAGTTTTTTTCTGTACCTGCAGAATGGGGACTCTTGCACAAGTATTCCAACATGGTTTTACTGCAAATGGCAAATAAACTGAATCGGAATATATTTTAAGAAGTTGATAATTTTGCATGTTTGACCTTGTCCCAGTAGCTGCATGAGTGGTTTTCATGGCCAGTCAGTACAGATGAGGATACTATAAGTGTAGAAAGTCCCTGCAGTAGAGAGAGAGCACATTCCTCTGATCAAAACCCACTGCATTAGAGGATTCTGAAGTTTCCGTCCTGGAGAAAGACTGACAGGGCTTTGCAATAACAACACTAATGCCTCGGGCCTGAGATCAGATCCATGACAGAGCAGATGGAAGATAAAGAGTGTGTTTAGACAAGAAGCAGAAGTGACAACACACTTCTCTGACTCTAGTATTTACAGTATACTCTATATATACACTATTGCAGAACAACTGTAATACTACGCAGTGTCTTTCTCACTGGTGGAAATTAGAATTATGTGTTTGGAATGATTTAACAGCTTAAGCTTTATTTGAAGGGCGCTTTTCCTACACAACACAAATCACCATAGACTGTAAATATTAGTATCACATAAGGCATACATCATAAACATTTAAATCCACATACATATAAAAATATCGGGTAAAAATAGCATTTTTAATAGAACATGGACTATCAAAAACAGAAACATTAAAACCACACAAGTAATTTAAAAACGCTCAAACTTGATTAAATACAAAAAACGCTGCCGCTGCTACAACAACAAAAACTACGCTTCTCTGTTTTGCTAATGTTTCCCTGTAAAATATAATATACATATAATACAAACTGTTGGAATATTAACTCCTGCACCAGTTAAAAACTAAAATCAGTTTAGTATTGTTTCTGTTGCCAAATTAGCACTTGTTTGTGTAAATCTCAAAGAGCAGTGAGTTCAAGGTTAGTCTGTGTGAGAATGGGAGGGGGACAAGAGAAAAACAACTGTGGTTATCAGAGCAGGTGCAGGCTTTGGCAGCTGGCCAGAAGAAGTCATAGAGTCCATACAGTTGTGATGTCATTGACCTTGGATGTAAAGTATAAATGTATGTGCAGGAGTGGTCACGAGAGACTACTTTTTGCTTTTTCGTCTGACAAGGAGCAGTGAGACGTCCCCGGGGGCCACTCCTTATCTGAACGCGAAGCGAGATCTGTTCGCGGACCGTTATCTTGTAATATTGCTTGCAAAATCTTCAATATAACCTTTTTGAAATCAGGTTTGGTATCTGTCATTTCTATCACTGTTTTA